CTGGTCTGCAGCTACTTCTTGTTTTAAAAAAAAAAAAAGAAAAAATTGTGCTTCATCCGAAATGTGGGCAGTACTATGCTATCCAGTATTGCTAAACCCATGACAGAATGCTCCTGCCAGACAAAGCTGTGTGAACTGAATTACTGCGCATCACATTTTATATACCTTGCTTGCTGCCTTAATATTTATAAATGCTTGGTTAATAGTAACCTGAATAACATTGAGCTTTTACATGTCTGCAGTCCTTGAATACTTAAAAAAGCCCACAGGTTTATTCTTGTTTTTCAATTTCCTCTAGCAGTGAAAGGACGATGGATCTGGTTTTAGAAATGTGCAATAGTAATTCCATCCACTGGTGTGGAGTTTCAGGAAGGCAACTTGGAAAGCTGCACCCAAGTTCATCCCTCCATCTTGCACTTACATTGTTGTCCTCAGTGCAGGGATTGCAAGTAAGTCTTTATAGCATAGTTTTGTTATAAAATAGCTAGTTTATGAGCTTAGTAATTCTTTCTAACAATAACTCCTAAAAATATTTTCTCTTTCTAGAGTGTCTCTGGCTTAAGACTTACAGACACGTTTTTGAAGAGAACGTATGAGTATGATGATATTGCACAAGTGTGTGTAGTTTCTTCGGAAGTCAAACAAAGCTGAAGGAAAAAAAGTCTATTTCTGCTGGGGTTTTGTTGGGTGTTTTTTGGACCAACTACTTCATCTTTTTTCAGCTGAATCATATTAAAATGTGTACAAATAAAACCTATATACCTATAAATGTAAATATGCTTATTTAATTTCTCTGAGCATTTTATGAATGTTTTGAAGTCTTTTAAAAACTTGTATATATGCACTTTGTCTACAGAACACAAAACCTTTGAAAGTGTAGTTCTAGCAAATTATATTGCATTAACATCACCTTGGGACAGGGTGGTGAAACTGATATGACACAGTAGCACTTAGTACTTGTTAATTATTTTTGAATCTTTAAACACTTTTAAAATAGTGCTTCTGCAAAAATGGGCCTTTTATAGACAAATTCCTGGAATACAAACTCCTAAAAGAAATAACTTGGGGTATCTGGTGTGGCAGCGTATTTGCATGGTTCATGCACAGCTGTAAGAACTAGAGCAGATAAAGGCAAGAGATGAGAGAGTGCAGCAGACACTGCTGAGGTGCCAGCAGCTTGAAGCTAGAGCATGGGCCAGAGAATGTGCTGGTTGTGGCTCAGCCTTTGGAAAGGAGAAATACAGCAAATCTGTCTCAGTTAGATGCAGTTTTATGCAGAGTTGTGTGTCCCTGCAATGCAGGACATGCTGTGAAGAGACATGTTACTTCCCAATTAGTAGAGAAATTAAGATTAAAATAGCAGAACTCGGCCATTTTTTATTGTTAAACTGAGGCAGTGCAAATTATTCTTCCCATGGCAAAGATAATTAAGTAGATTTTTAGGAAAATTAGCAGAAAACCCTTGCATGGCCACCCTAGAACATCTTCTCCGAAGCATGTGCAGAAAGGAATTCAGGATGCGGTGAAGTACTAAATATATTTTTCCTAGCTTTGTTTTGACGAAAGTTGGAAACATTTTTGGCTGAAATATGTAAGGTCACTCAAAGGTAGCTATTTAATACAGAAAATTATGAGTGTCTTTCCTTGTTTAACACTAGTTTAACTATTGTTAAAGATTCTACTCAGTGTCTTGTCATATTTCTTAGCTACCATACTGGTACTTAGCAACCTTAGTTTCTTTTGACAGTATTTTACTTACAGATTTTCTGCACAGGAAAGCCTTAAGTGTAGAATTCAATTTTAAAATACTGGATACATTTAGGACCAACTTACTGAATGGAGGCAATAAGTACATACAGAGGGAAAAAATAAATTTAAACTATATCTTGCATACCTAATTAAATGCAGAATGGGTATTTTACAGAATGCAATATACCTATTACTCTAGATGCATCAAAAAACTAAAACAGTAAAACCACAACTATCCACACAAAAAATGTAAGTAACTTTATTTATAGTCTGTTTTCAAGTTAAACAGACACAAGTGGAAGGAAATGTAACCATGTAGCAGTAAGAGGTGGGAGAGATACAGAAATGGTAGAGAAGTTGCATTTTGCTAGTATGACTTTCTGTAGCCCTGAAACAGTGGATGAATCCAAAGCTGCAGATGTAGTTCTTTCTCAGTGTGCATGAGTAATTTTACTTTGTACTTGTTACAAAATCAAGAGTGCAACCAAAACAATTTCTAGCCTGAATATTTCATCAAGTGTTTTTTGTGATCAGGCATAGTTAGAAGACTGTATTTCCATGCAAGCACCTTACAGGAGTTTACAATTTCAGTGCAAAACATTTTCTTCTCTAACAATTATCACACTTATATGCTGATGGAACAGTAATGATACAAAACCAGTTAGATGTTAAAAGCATATTTACTCAGTTGAATGATTAAACTGTAATTGACCTTAAGTTAAAGCAATATTTACAGGGATTGTGATTTACCACTAGATCTAGCAGGATGATAAATTGTAGTGCAAAATAAAGTGCAGCTATTACACAGGAAGATTCCTTCCTTACCCTGTGATTGACATATTGCATGACTCTGTGAAACAATCTAGCTTACTCAAGGCAAAATAGACTTTAGCACAAATGATGCTTCTGTTCTTGGTTTCAATGGAAAAGCATGTAATGACAGCTCCTGTTATTGGTTTCGCTGTGTTTATTTAGGCTATAAAGCCCTTTCTGTTAGTATACAAGAAACAAAGAGTGTTTACAAGTTAAGTATTGTGCCAGTTGTAGCACACTCCTAAAGGGTTAGCTAATGTCATCAATGTTTAATACTCTGGATAAATATTATTAGTACTAGAGTAAAACCTAAATATGACAATATTGTAGTATATTAAATGAAATCATCTATAAAGATGATTTCAAGACTAGTTTTCAGATAACTATGCAATGCTTCATTCCATTTAACCTTGGGGATGGTTTTCACATAAATCTAGTAAGCTACAGAACTTGCTGTAGTATAACTTCTACAGCCAGTCTTTGAGTATTGTCCCATTTTGTAGGAATGTAAGGAACTCAAGAGGTTCTTGACACTCTTTATTTCTTAAAATAGAAAGGTAACTGACTGCATAAATGTTGCTGTCACAAAGTAAGGAAAACTTGAGTGTGAGAGAGATAGCAGTGCTGTCCAGTCCACTCTGCATTTATTGGTTCCCCTTATCAAAGTTAGTAAAACTCACTTTGAGCAGTTGTAAAAATGAGAAGACTAAGAGCAACTGTGAAGTTTAGCAGGAGATATGCTAGCAGCAATGTTTTTCTCCTGACAGAACACACTACTCCAAGCAATGTTAGTACAGTAGCTGTAGCCCACCTACAGCCTCCATCAATCTATCTTGAAAATGGTATCATGTCCTATTAAATGTAACTGAACATAAGTAGCAGTTTTCTTGAATGGATTAGATTCAGGATATGAACTACCTCTGAAAAAGATCCTGTTAGAGATTTTTCTTCTTTGTCATCAGATGTTAAATCAGAAACTGTTACTTGGAAATGTATTTAATGTAAAGCTGAAGTATTTCTACAGCCTCAAAAAGGCAGCTACAGCAACTTACATAGAGAAATTTGCTGTATGTAGGCAAGCTCTATTGAATAAAGTATGAAATATCTTAAAGTTGTTTAAGTTACTCTATTAAGCTTTGCCTATTTATTCAACAGATGGTAATATAATTTCTTATTTTTGTGTTTACTTCAGTTGTTTTCATTCCTTCTTGAATCCAGCTGCATTTCCCCCTATTTTAGTAGCAGAAGGTTCATAGAATAGATGCACAACTACCATTTCATAGAGTCAAGTGCATGACTTGACTTATCCCCAGATTTTGCATTTGTTCTACTTGAGGTGCTCTTTTTTGAGGTCCAAGAGTTCCTGTGTATTTCTCCTTTTGGGAGTCTATTACCATTCCTCCACATATCTTCTCCAGTCTAACTGGCCAGCAGAGGTCACCTGGTCTTAGTAATCAAAGCAGGCACCTCCAACCAGTTTTGACAGACAAAGAGGAAATTGTGAGTGTTGAGAACCTCTGTGGAGTAAAAACAAGTGTCCCTTGTACCAGAAAGCAGTGTGAACAGTAAGCAGAATTAAAAAGAAAAGAAAAGGTTACATTATAAAAATACAGAAAAGCAGTGGTCTCTGAAAGAGTAAGATTAACTGAGCAAGAGAACCCACAGTAGAAACAGAAATACAATAGTGTGAAAAAATCTTTAACTCAGCCATATAACCATCGCTTAAGATAGACAGATGTTACAAAACTCTAACAGAAAATAGCCTTAATTGTTTAAGCCAGTGATTTACCACACAAAAATAGAACGAGAATCCTTCTAAGGCAGTTAATTTTTAATAAATTTTCAGTACTGGTTATGTGTACAGTCACAGGATCAGTTTTAGCTTACTACAGTTAAGAATGTTAAGCTTATGTTAAATACTGCATACATATGGAATGTAATACAGTTTGCCATGCCTAGGAAAACAGTGCCATAATGCTGACCTCCAGGGCTACCTTCACGATTTGAGGTTATAAATGGCAGCAGAAAGGCCTAAAGCCTATTAATACTCCTTCCTTTCTCAGTCCAAGTTCCATGTTGGTTTCTGTGTATTTTCCTACTTGAAATTAGAGTCTTCTCTTTCTCTACTATTTGTGGTACTTCGTCTCCTCCTTCTTGCCCAATGAAGTTGAAAATTATTTCACGTTACTAATGACAGCCCTTCCACAGGCTTAGAGAAGCAGACTTTTCAAGCATTAGTTCTAAGTACACTCTATGCTCCAACACAGATTTATGCTCATTACAAAAGGGCACATCACATGGGCCTATTGTTTCAGTATTTGACAGGGAGTACAGTCATAATAATTTTCACTGTAGGAATAATAGGCCTTTTACACTAAGATTTTAGAATTAAGCTGTTATGTATGATCAGCCCACTACAAAACTCCTCCCCACTGAATAGCACTGGAGATCAATCTAATGCACATATTGGAAACAACTTGTACTTATGGATTTTTAATAAGCGACCTATATAGTGTATTAATTTTCAGAGGAGTAAATATACATAAACAATATGTTCCAAATTATGTGCAGTAGATCTCTTTAATAGATTTATTCTTGTTTGCAAAGACGCACAAAGACATTTCTGTCTTCAATTCAAGCAGAAGAGTTACAATGGTACTTTAGCTACTAACTATGGTATGCATTTTGCAGTTATATCCCATTACAATTCACATGCCTCCTTTAAGTCAGGAATGCTCTTCAGTGCTGCCACTGAAAGATCTGCTCCGGACATGATTTCTCAGTTGCTCTATGAGCTCTGGATTCTGCTGCTGTATCTGTTGTGCAAACTGCTGCCCCCTGTGTTAAACACAGTTTTAAGTAAATTAAACAAGTGAAAAACACTGAAAAGCAGTATTTGTAAGAAAACAGGATATCCCAATACAACTGAAAGTGCATTATATGAAAGTTAAGACTAAAGATAACTTGCTATATAGTCTTAATCAATGTATCTATAGTATTACAACTTTAGCTAGTTGAAGTCTCTCCCAACAGCATTATCTTCAGATCTTTGTTCTCATTCTTTAGAAGTATTACTTCTACTTGATAACACGCAGGAAGAAGTATTACCTTACTCAGTAAAACTAAAATTTAGTAACAAATCTGCTCTATTCTTCTTTTTGACAGGTTCCAATCTAGTTGTTTAAGAGAACTACTCTTCTAGGTAAAGTGCAACCTTATAATAGTTTTTTTCCAGAAATACAGTGTGTGACTGCCAACTTGTGCTTGTGAACAAGAGGTCATTAGTAGAAAGCAAGCGCACAATTACACCTTTATGTCTTGCAAGACTGAGGTAATGACAGATCCATCTCTGTAACAGTTATAGCTTAAGAGATTAATTCCATATAAAAGCTAAGCATAACACAGGTTTACTTAAAAAATCAAGTAACTAAAACATACTACTTCATTAATAGCCTGGCATGGCTTCTCTGTAAATTCTGCATTTTGCCCAAGTAACAAGTTGTCAAGACTCACAGTGCAGGTTGAAGGAAAGCCACAATTTTGACAGATCTAACTGTAGCACATAGTTTTTGTGAAAACAGCCCTTGACAGCCAATGACAGGACTAGGAGCAATGGGTGCAAGCTGGAGCATAGGAGGTTCAATCTGAACATGAGGAAAAACTTTTTTATTGTAGAAAAGCTTTTTTACTGTAAAAAAACTTTTTTACAGTGACAGAGCACTGGACCAGACTGCCCAGAGAGGTTGTGGAGTCTCCTTCTCTGGAGACATTCAAAACTCGCCTGGATGTGTTCCTGTGTGACCTACTCTGGGTGATCCTGCTCTGGCAAGGGGGTTGGACTGGATGATCTTTTGAGGTCTCTTCCAATTCCTAAGATTCTGTGATTCTGTGGGGGCATATTCCTGTCTGTGATGTGAATTATAAATTACTTTGCCCTGAAGGAGCAAAACTTAAAAATAGTTTGAAACAGGCTAAAATGCTGAAATAAAGTAAAATTGTATGCCTTTTAAGAGGTCTTGCCATATGAGCAAATAGCATGTTTTTGTGCAGACTCTTCCAGATAGATTATTGTTATTATACTATAAAAGACTTGGGACCTGGTTTTTGTAAAAGCTACTCCTCATTATACTGAGATCCCTGAAGTCTTTCAAGTCTAAATGGAAGGATGCCAAGCAGAAATTGTTGCAACCTTTGCTAAGTAAATCTGTAGGTTTTCTAACTCGTGCCTGAGATATCAGGTAGTAAATTTATCAACTCAATTTGAAAGTATGTATAGGAGTACTTAAAGGTTTTAAAGAAGAATTTTTAGTAATTTTTTTGGCATTTAGAAAGTAAATAGTGAATGAGAACTGGAAAATGAAACTAAGCACACAGTTCAGTCATTCCAATTGATGAAAATGTACAAAGCAAATAAACGAGATAGTGGCAAATAAGTCTCCAAGTTCTCCCTTTTAATAATAATCAGGCATACAATGGGGACAGGCAACAGTATAATTGACTTGACACTATTAATTTTAAATACACGTTGCACAATGATGCTCCTATAAATGTAACAGTTAAAACTATACAATTTATAACACTTACGCATGGATCAGGCTGGACAAATCCGACAGGCCGCCAACACCTGCGGCAGGGCCACCAATGGCACTTGACATCATCCCTGACATCCTGAAACAGTTAGCACAGTGTTGGCATGGGGGTATCCAGGCACCTTTACAGTAAGCAATAAACCTTAGTTATTTTTTTAATTGCTGGAAGGAAATAAGCTGCAAAAGGAAGAAACTGCAGTAGTTTTATTTACAGTAAGCAAAAGTAAAATTACATTTTCAGTAATATATATACACAGTACTATCCACCTTCTCTCTTATTAATTCATACCATAAAGACTTTTGTTTCAATGATGCTGCATTTTAATACTTACAACTGTTGAACTTGAGGATTCTGCATTAAGCTTGCTGCCTAGAATAGAAAATATATAGCTGAAATTATAACACATTTACTACTTAGGTATCACAACCAAAAACCACATGGTGTATTCTGTGTTTTATTACAAAATAAGCTAATTTTATATACACAGTGATGTAAGGTCCCTAGCAAAAAGAATCATTACAGGAACATATTTCAAGGACATGAAGCTGAGACAGTTGGTTACATGTTAGATAAAAAAAAATACTTTTACAGATTCAGACATGAAAAATATGACAAGACATTAAGCGTAAAAACCCAGTATCAGAAAACTAAGAAAAAATAGAGAGAAAAAAATCCACAAAATTAAGACTTTCAAGGACAAAGGTTTTCTATTGAGCTGTATTTTGTTGATTCCCAGCCCAGATAAATCAGTCTTGAAACTACTATTACTGCTGGGTATAAACTGTTAAGACTACGGCCACAAAATACTGCAAAGTAAACTAGGGCGTTGACTTATTTTGTGCCATGGTTTTGTGGTAACATATACCTTATGTAGTAATAGCACATCTTCTTACTTCATAGTAAGCATAAGGTTATTTAAATTTCTCATTCATAAGATACCTCAAAATTATATTGTTTACCATAGTGTAAGGGTATGTATGGATAGATTCTATAGAATAAACCCAGTGATGTTTTAAAGTTAGTAATGTAATTCCTAGAGAAATCAGTGTCTGTATGACTACAGGACCAACAGGCACAACACAGTTTCTTATTCACTATCTTATTTAAAGTACTACAAAACTCAGATATAAACAATATTCATTTTATTGATCAATATGTCTCTCTATATATCTATCTCAAAAGTAAATAACTTAATAATTAATATAAAATGCCAAATTCAGGTCAATGCTATGGGTAACATAGGACTTTTTTTCTTTCTTCCATCAATAGTCTGATCTAGGTTAGAGGCCCAAAATGAAGGCTAGAAATAACTTTCTCAAGGTTAGACAGTGAGTCAATTTTTTCCTTAAAAGCAAAACAAAACAAACGTACACCACAGGACAAATCATTCATTCATTCCTGGCTGAATGCCCTGTGTTCTATCCACTTGATCAGGCATTTCTGGAAATAATGCAAAAATACCTTTCCTCATACTTAGCTCCATATTGAAGAGAACATCTTTGACTCAAAACTGATACATACTGCCTGAGAGTAAGTCATGTGGCCAATGAAGTGGTACATGGAGTTCCAGTGCTACTTAGTCACTAATGCCATTGGAGAATTTGCTCACTTCTTCTTTTCCCTACCTTCTCCATTATATGGACCACAGCATCAGACCAGATGTATTAAACTCTCATGCATGCAGTCCATTTCCACACAGAAGAACTGGTTGAAATGTCCTGTCCTAATTAAGTTACGAGAGGTGCAGTAAAGTTTTAACTGAGTTCTCAAAGGAATTAAGTACTTATTGCATATTTTTTTTAGAAATTTTCACCATGCTGTTGACAAGTGTTTTACTATCATGCCTTCTATAACAACAGCATAGCTGATTGATGCACTTTGCTGTTCATCAGTAAGATAGAATGAATTTGAAGTGAAATAGGCATTATAGGAAATTTATGCTTCACTTCTTGTTTTGAGTGTAAAACGACTTAGAAAAGCTTAAATTCAGTATAATGAAACCATTGCCATTACAATAAGCATTAAAATTCCTTGTTATTAAACTAGAGTTCTTCTTAAAAATGCAGTTTTAAAAAACAGTATAATGTAAAGCCTGAAATATACTCACCATGCTAATGAAGGCAGGATTGTTTATCAAGCTTGCCATGTCAAAACTCAGTCCAGTTCCAGTCTACAAACAAATTACAATTGAATGTAACTTTGCCTACAAAATCCCAGTTAAAACTATTGTAAATAAAGAGATGCAGAGATAACTTACAGGACTGGACATGTCTCTTAGTTTCTGTTCTGCTATTTTCAAATTTGACTTATAAGAGTCATTCTCGGGATCAAGATCCAGTGCTTTTTGGTAACTGGTAACTGCTTCTTCATATTTATTCACTGAGGTCAGAGCCAACCTAATGTGAAATAAAGAAATCCCAGGTAGAACATAAAAGACCATTAATAGATAATGATACAGTTTCTGTTCTAAGTAAAACAGTGTCTCACAACTAACTTCTAAATTGAGCACTCAGTTAAAGCAAGTTTTGCTATTGTGCTACTACTGCTTAGT